TACTATTTGTTTCCTCAATTTTCTTTTCCTTCGTAAATCGAAAATAACCCCCTAACAAGAACTTAACCAAATTACTAAGCACAAAGGGCTTATTGATAGCTTTACCTTTTTTTTTTCTTTTTCTCTACTTCCTCATTCAATCGCCCTTCCGATAGGAAACACCCTTTTGGTATATACAGTAAAATGTTAATGAAAATTTTGAGATTTTCAATTACTTTCGTCGATAAAAAGAGGCCGATTTTCCTCGTCGGACCCTCTTATATTCTTAAAGCCCTTTCACCCTTCGTCCTATCTAATTCGGAAATAAGTAATGCAACGCTTTTTCCTCCTCCGTCCGATTTCTCATAAAGGCCCTTTTTACCGATCTGCCCTCCCTTGATCGGGAGACCTCCCAAGATCGGGGAGGAAGGGAGAAGGCCTGCAATAATATCCAGGGAGGTGATGCAAACAGGGGCTGTCTCTAATTGTGGGGATTAGGGCTGACCATCGCTTAATAGGGTAGCGATTAAAAAAGTTTTTACTCCCGGGTCCCGATTAACCCCTGATCCTCTCTCATCTTTCAGAACTTTGTTTTTATTTCCCCTCTTCCCGAGGTTCTTTCCATTTTCTTTCTTTTTAATGCTCTTTTATTTCTTTCCGCTTGTTGGGTCGGATCATCGAGGTTATCGGAGGGACAAACTCCTTATAGAGCTCAACTTTTAATCTTGATTGCGGATTTCCGTTCTGAGATATCTGGTGGGGCGAAAAAATAAATTAATAATTTAATATATATTTTATAAGGAGTTTAAACGATTTTCAATGTTGTCTCAGCTTTCTTATATAAAATAGCAATAAATAGGTTTTGTCTCCTTTTTTTTTTTTAACTTCAAACATTGCTCTACTCCTTTCGACAAACTGTTTGCTTTTGGAATGGAGATGATGAAATGGGTTTGTGAAGAATCTCTTATTCAGCTCCTTTTTACTCTTCTCTTCGTACTCATGGTCGTAGCAGATAAAGCCCTTATACATTAGTATGAAATCGTTGGTAAGCAGTCTTAATATGCTGGTCAATCATTGGCAAATGATGGCAATTAGTAAGTATGTATTAAGCAAGTAAATATATGTATTTATTTTCTATCAAAATTCTGGTTTTGAAGTTCCGGAAAAAAAAAATTAGTTTGAGTCGTATACTAAGGATCTTCAATTTCATTTCATTAACATATGTACCCGTCTTTAAAATTTATTTTTTAAATACTCATCATCAATTTTGGTTTATTGAGCTTGCATTAAAAAAAAAAAATGCAATATTTTCTGTTTCTTTCTTTTCCTTAAAAACCACTGTTGTTTTTTAACTAGTCCCCGCATTTACCTTAATCCCTGGGATGTCCCAACTTGAGGAACGCATCCCCCTCCCCTTTCACCACAGCTGACAGAACACTTAGATACACAACACAAGATGGTAATCCAAGGTAAAAAGGTAAAGAATTATACAGATATAATTAGGAGAGGAGGCGAACCTGTAAGAATACAGATAAAGGCCTCTCTATGAAAATTCAATGAGGTTTCATTGTTTGCGACCGGACGTGGGGGCCTTGGAATCACCCAATCAGAAACTATCAGAAAGCAAACTCCAACAATTGTGGGAAAACCTTTTGTGGGGTTTTCTGATTAGCTCTGAGGGCAATAACTTGTTTCTTTCCTTCTGGGTTTATAATTTTGTGCAGTATCTAGAACTCTCCTGAGGAACCCCCCAAAATCGGTGGGGCGTATCCACCCTGAATCCCGCATTGTTCCCACGAAGTTTCCACTACCGAATCTCCTAGAATAATTCAGAATTCGTTTGCACCCTTCAATTATTTCACAATGATATTTCACTTTTTTTTTTTTATTGGTCTTTTTCTACGAACTTTTTATCCTTTTGGGCTCCCATAATTATTTAGATTCTTCACCATTTACTGTAAATTTTTTTTTATAATTATTACTATATCATTTTGTACAGGCTAAGGGTTTCATGGTGTCATATTATCAGGCTTGTCATCAAACTGTATTTATGCTTTGTAGGATATTTTTCAATCTATAGCTCGGATCATTTCCCACAATTAGGCCTAGTCAATCTTTTCTACCTTACATGAATTATTATATTAATATCATAAATTTAAACAAATTCAAAATATATCAAAACATTTTTTGAAGAGAAGATTCGTTGGGGTGTTCAACAATTAATGAACATTATTAAATAATATTTATTCATTTTCACATTTTTTTTTTACTGAACACCCCAAACAATCTTTTTTTCAATTATTCCTTTCAGTCAATCATCAATCCACAGTTACAAACTATTTCTTTAATGATAAAAATACACATTAATAAAAAAATATAATACGAATTCAGATGAAGAATGTAATCAGCTTCATTCTATATCTGCCGGGTTTTCCCACATATTGATTATAATTCATGTTTATAACAATGGCAAAATCCGTTCAGATAATTCTCCGTTTCTCTATTAAAAATATTAAGAAATTCATGTATATTTGTTATAAAATATGGTCTAAAGCAATAGTATTTTTTTTTTTTTTTAAATTGTTCTAGGGATTGAAATTCTTATTATATTATATTTATTTATTTATTATATTAAAAATTAAATTTTTATTTCACCAGTAGACAACATACAATTTTTTTTACTAACAATAACGATGATTGTATACCAAAAATGTTGTATAGATATTTGAAACAAACTCATGCAATAATAATAAAATGTACAATCCAAGTTAATTTTTCAGTTATCAGGATTTTACAATATATTTTATTTTTACAGTCGCTTACCAGTATTATTTGTCTGTACTTACAAAAAGTACGTTAAAATCTATCTTGGTAGGCATTTATCTCACAATTAAGGAATACTAAATTGCAAATTTCAATTATAATGACAACTATAAATTTAAAAAAAAAAGCCGTATCAATATCATAGGTATAATTAAGTTTCTTAAATTATATACATTTTAGTTATTTAATTCATGACACTTATTTTGGAAATCAGGCGTAGTTTTTTTTTTTAAATCATGAGTTCAGTTTTTTAGTCTATTTATTAATTTTTTTTATTAGCATGGCCCAATATGTCATCTTAAAAATACATAATTATTAAATAACTTCTGTGATATTGGATACATTTTGGAGAACTAAACTATGGTTCCAGATAGAAGACTTTGTCCATTAATTTAAGTGAATTAAATATATTTATAGTCTTTTTTTATAAGTACATTAAATCACCGAAAAATCTCATGAATGTCATTTTTGACATTTTAGCACATATATGCTGACATCAAGTCATACAAAAAACTTGGAAACGGCAGTTGGAATCCACCATGGCGATACCATTACCATGAATCTAAGACTGACATTTATTATGACTTGGCTGGGTAGTGGTTATGGTTATTTAATTAGAGGCATGGCTTTCATAAATCAGCATTTATTGAAGGAACTCAGTTTCTGTCGCCATATTTTACTCACCCGCTTAATCTGCCCTCGCGTTGTCCACTACAAATACCGATTGCATGTGCATGATCCTCATAACTGAATAACGATTGTCATTTATGCATGTTGTCACTTATATTTATTTATAAAGAAAAACGAAAATCCTTAGAAAAATTAGTAAATACAATTTTAAATAATGTTTCGTTTTTCTTAAAATTTATCTTATAATTGTAAATTATATAAATTATTTTTAAGTCATAATATGTATATAATATTTATATAAATATATTGTCTTTATTAAAACATATGTATCACATGTTCTTTACTTCTAGTAAGCGTTATTAACATTCAATAAAATATATGTAAAATAAAATAAAATAAATTTGTTAGTTTTAATTAATTAAAGGAATAACTTCTATCCATAGTTATATGAATAAAATTTCGCTGTTAAAGGAATATAAAATAGCTAAAATTTCCGTTTTGTCTAGTAGTCTATTTGTTATATTATTGAAAATATATCGTCGGCAAAAGTGTGAAACCAAAGTCCAGAACTGTTATTTTTCCTTTACTATTTGTACAAGAGAGAGCTTCTACTAATAAAAAAGTTAAGATTATGTTATTGGATTTCATGAAGTGATGTTCGATTAGCTGTTCTTTTCTGTCCTCATTATGCCTGAATTGGCGAAACATTAATAGGCTTTTCTTTGCCTGCTTGGTTTAGGATTTTTCCAACAATAACCTAACATTCATGTTCTGTCTCTTAGTTATCTTGGTTAGTAATTTATAACAAAAAAAAAGATAAGTTGTGCTGCAATTAATTCGGCTTGCCGAAAATCCTAGTTATAGAAAATTGTTTTAAGGTTTTCCGAGATTTAGCAAAATTTAGAATTTATCTTTTAGTTAAATCCTCAATTAATTCTTGTTGCTAGTACATGCTCTTTTAAAAAAAACTCTTTTAAAAGTTGGGATTGATAATTTCACACTCTTTCCGACGTTATCTTAAATACTTTTGTAAAAAACGAAAATAATTCATTTTTTATAGTTGCTTAATAATGACATTTAATCAAAGATAAATATTTTTGCCGCTGTTGACTGCTTAATAATTATATGTTTTTTTAAAATCTTTTTTTGGAGAAATGATACTCTAAAAATCCGTGAACGTATGTATATATTAAAAAATTTGTTGAAAATACTTTAATCTTAACACAAGAGTAATGTTTTTTATCATTTAAGCGTTGTCTGTTTATTCCTTTATTAACTAACAATTTGAGATTTTATGTATTTTCTTTTTATAAAATAAATATTAATACCGGCAATATATAATAATTACCGGATTCCAACCTGTCCATTTCAAATGTCATTTAATAAAATTATGTAAATATCGTAATCTATATTAGGTAATGTTTACGTAATTCAATTTTTATCGTTACAAATCGGAGAACGTGCCTAAGATAAAGGGAGCAAGTTATCAGTACTTGTGGTGTAATTGAGCCTGTGAGAGCGAGAGGTCCAGCTCTGGTTAGTGATGTGATGTTGTTGTTGTTGGTTAGATCTTCATGCACAAGTCGGCGATGCAGATGCACGCCAGGGAGCTCTCGAGGCCGCCGGAGGTGAACAAGCCTCACCAGTGCCAGCAGTGCCTCAAGTCCTTCTCCTCCAACCACCAGCTCGTCCAGCACATCAGGGTCCACACCGGCGAAAAGCCCTACAAGTGCTCCTACTGTGAGCGCAGGTTCAAGCAGCTCAGCCACGTGCAGCAGCACACCAGGCTACATACAGGTATGTTAGTGTATCCATAATAATCTATCTTGAGGGTGGGTTCAATGTTAGTGTAGAAATAATATCCTGTCAAAAGAATCTATCCCATGTTAGAGTATCTCTCCCATAAGATCCTATCCTAATAGGTTACCCGATGTTAGTGTATTCATATCTTAAGAGTCTACCCGACGTTAGTGTATTCATATCCTAAGAGTCTACCCGACGTTAGTGTATAATGTTCTATCATAAGAGTACTCTCTACTCGTATTTCAGTGTATACATAAATCCAATCATAAAAATCTACCCAACGTCAGTGTAAACATAATATCCTATCCTAAGAGTCAATCCGATGTTAGAGCATGCATAAATCCAATCATATAAATCTATTCAACAAGTCAATGTAAACATAATATCCTATTCTAATAGCCTATCCGATGTTAGTGTGTTCATAATATCCATATCCTAAGAGTAAACCCGATGTTAGAGTACACATAAATCTAATCACAAAAATCTATCCAATGTCAGTGTAAGCATAATATCCTATTATAACAGCCTATCCGATTTTAGTGTATGCATAATATTCATATCCTAAGAGTTCACCCAATGTTAGAGTATAAATAAATCCAATCATAAAAATCTATTCAAAATCAGTGTAAATATAATATCCTATTCTAATAGCCTATCCGATGTTAGTGTATGCATAATATCCATATCCTAAGAGTCAACCCGATGTTAGAGCATGCATAAATCCAATCATATAAATCTATTCAACAAGTCAATGTAAACATAATATCCTATTCTAATAGCCTATCCGATGTTAGTGTGTTCATAATATCCATATGCTAAGAGTAAACCCGATGTTAGAGTACACATAAATCTAATCACAAAAATCTATCTAATGTCAGTGTAAGCATAATATCCTATTATAACCGCCTATCCGATGTTAGTGTATGCATAATATCCATATCCTAAGAGTCAACCCAATGTTATAGTATACATAAATCCAATCATAAAAATCTATTCAAAATCAGTGTAAATATAATATCCTATTCTAATAGCCTATCCTATGTTAGTGTATTCATAATATTCATATCCTAAGAGTCCATCCGATGTTAGAGTATACATAAACCCAATCATAAAAATCTATTCAAAGTCAGTGTAAACATCCTATTATAAGAATCTATCCGATATTGGTGTATACATAATATCCTATCCTCAGAGTCTATCCGATGTTAGTGTTTACATAACATGTTATCCTGTAAGACTACCCTACTTTAGAGTATACATAATATTCCTAAGAAGACTACATTACCCGATGTTAGCATAATTTCCTTTCTTAAGAAGCTACCTGATTTTAGAGTATACAAAATATGCTATATTCCTGTACACCTCTAACCAGGATGATTATTGTAATTAGGCTTGTATTACAGATATTACCTTGAATGAATTGTCTGATTCTAGTATTTTCTTTGAGTTACTAAGAATGTTCCGCTTAGTTACCATGTTTAGATTGACTTATTAAATTTATTGAAAACATAGATTCCATCCGTGTCTGAACTGTTTAAAACAAAGATTTCCAACATCTCTGCAAAAACCATGTTTGACAGAAAAAAAATGATACCTCTGGTTGTGAGATACTTTGAATATGTTCCCTTAAATTTTTCAAATTTTCGTTTAATTTTGTGTTTCTTGTTTCGAATATTAATAAGTTTGATCTAATAAAAGATGTGAAAAGCGGTGTAAAAAATATAGAAAAAATTCATATCATGTTACAAAGTACAGTATCAACCTAACCAAATCGTAGTTGGAGGTTTTAAAACTTTTGAGGATTGTGGAGGAGATTAGAAGCTATTTAAACCTCATAGTTGGATACATTCTATGTAATTTAAAATATTAAAAAATAGATTTTATTCCCAAAAAAGTAGTTTAATAGTATAACAAATATAATTTTCATAGATTTTTTTAAGACTGGACTAAATAGCGCAGCATTGAATCATATTAACTTTAATTATTAGTTTTCTATGTCTGTAACAATTATCACAATAAACTTACTCATTTTAATATCAAAATATTTCACTAGATACATTAGTTTCGCTGATTACAAATGGCTTTAGCACTTTATGAGTATATGTTCTAATGTTTTATGTCTATTACAATATTTATAATTGAATAAAAAAATATATATTTATTTCTTCTAGTAAATGTTAATATTCTTCAAGCGCTTTGTAATCGGTTTTAATCAATCAATAAAACTGATAAATGTTTCTGTAATCAATCATTTTTAATTTTGAAGTATTGGAGAATTCCCGTGATATAGTTAAACAACAAATGAAATGATTGCTTTATAATCCTTTTTTTTTTAATTCACCTTGTTGCAGTAATAATCTATTATAAATTTCAATAAAAATATTTAAATTCAATGTTCATCAAATCAGATTCTAATATATATTTTTATTAAATTTTCAATCATCTCCCTATTTTCATAAATTAAAATGATCCATAGATTTAGTGTTGCAAACGTTTTTTGTTCACCATGTTCATTACAGCCAATTAATGATAAACTGTTAATCAAAGAAGGAATACAAAAAATAGCTTATTCAAATTTTTTTATTCATAAGCACAATAATTCGATAAATGTATTTGAATTAATTATGACATTTTACAATTGATGTGTTGTGAACGCCTTTTTCTGAAGCTGTGATACATTTATCGTAATTGTAATGTTTTTTTATGTTTGATTTTATACAATAATTATTAAAGTCAACGAAAAGGTGATGGCGGTCACCTATTTTTTGTGTATTTTATTTTTTTAAATCTAAATCAATTGAAATGTTTTAATGTGGGTATTTAAATGAGTGAGTATAGATTTTAAGGAAATGAATTTTCAATTGATTTTAAACCGTCATTTATTGAAGTTATTTATCTTGTAAACAGTAATTGATACTTGAACTCCTTCTTATCAAATAAAAATAATTTCATTTATTGCTGTTTACGCAAATATAGGCTATATTATTATTATTACATATATCGTGAAAGTTTTTTTTTTTAAAAAGAGTCTTGCTGATAGGACTACTATACTTGAAAAGTATTAAACATATAGTACGTAAACATGTATACATACTTTCTAAAAAAAAATAAATAATTTCGATGCTTGTTTATAAAGTCTCTGCCCAGAAATGTCGGACATTTTAAGTGCCTTCTGACCTTTTACACTTGTAAGAATGTTTTTTTAGACCTTTACGTAAGTAATTACTTATTGATCAGCAAGAGTCCGTGCATCCGTCTTCGAAAAATACAACTTTTATTTATTTCCTCGTGCTAAATAATTTCCGTTATAGTTATAAATAAATATTATAATTTCTTTAATTCAAAAACACAGAAACACGCATATAATTACACCTTCATTTTACCTTGACATTGACTTTAGTTGCAATAAGTCATAACATTGTAAGCGTAATTATTTGTTAACCATAAATCTAATCTTAGCCGGTGATAAGAGCCTATGTAGTCAGGAACACTTGAGATTCGCGCTTGCTTATTTTGGAATGCTTTTATTAGCCATAGAAAACTTCAATTTTTTCATATTTTTTCTGTTTTCTTAACATAATAATATCGTTTAATTTTTATTCATCATTACCTATTCGGATCACGGTGAATAATATTAATTTCTAAAGAAAAAGGAGGAAACACTTGTCGTGAATTTTGATTGTTTGTGTGAGGAAAATCGGATAGTTTTCCTCGTATATACTTAATCACGAATCAACATTGAGTAATAATGCTAACAATCAATTTATTTATAAGATTTTTTTTATCTTGGTTATAATGAACATCTTACAACATCGCAATATTGGTGGGGTGTTTAAACCATTAAACATCAGAAAGATTTGATATATTCAATAAACAAAATAAACATGTTATTAACCTTTGAATAATGAAGAAATATTATCAATCCTCAGCTTATATTCAATTCAGCTATTGATATAAAACATATATTAAATTCTTACTTTTTTAACAATCATAAAACTATCATACATATAAAAAAATCAGTTGGAGTTCTTCATTATCATTAAAAATCACTATATTACTAATTATGTTGAATGAATAGAACCATAAAAATAAAAACAATTGTGTTTAATGAATTAAATATTATTGATTATTCATTCATAAAAAATAGTAAGTTTTACTAGAAAAAAAATATAGACCCCATTGTCATTAATTGCTGGGGGAATACAATTGATAAAATTCGCAAAAAAATAAAGATATTCCACACACATTCATGAAAACATTAAAGATTATTTAGTAAGGCTTCAACATGATATGATTTAATTTAAAATATTTTTAAAAAATAATAGGATTACAAATTATTTTAGATGTGTTTCAAGCATAGTGAATAAACTTAATCAATTTCGTTACAATAACTATACATATATATTAAGTGTTATTTACCTGTTTAATTTTTTTTTTAATATTTCATTTATTATATGTAAGATTAGTTTTAGTGATTATATTAATACAATTTTAATTCGTTTAATAATCATTTAATTATTTATGTATTAGTATTTAGAACAAAAATGTGAATCGGAAGAGTTAAAAAACAGAGTTCGGTTTTTCTCTTCATGTTTAATATACAGACATATTTTTTATACAATAAATGTGACTCATATAATTAATCTTTAATAACTCAGAATGTAAATTCATAAGCATATAATTAGTATAGTTAATTATATCCAAAATTTTTTTTTTTTTTTTTTTTTTGCACTTACATTTATTTATCCGCACCTGTCAATTATTATTGACAATCAGCAGATGTGCTGGCTTAGTAATGAGAGAAAAATAAAAAAAAATAAAAAATAAATAAAAAAAAAAATAAATAAATAAAAAGGCTTGATAGGCATGAGGATATCCAAAATTTGACATCAGTTTTAAAAGATAAATCGTTTTAAGAACATTATCTTCCTTCCTGCTTCGCTGCCTCCTTCCAGGAAAGTAGATAGACTCTAACACCATCCGTTTGGTATATT